TGAACTGTCATGGCTGCTGATAATTAAGGCACACAGATTTATTTTTACATGGTTTTTCGCGTTTAACGGGCTATGGTGTCGACAGTGAATAAAAATTTCGTCTTTTTAGAAGTAAATTGAATGTAAAAACAATTTATTCTGCCTGCAGTCGCCCGTATCTAAAAAATATTTTTGCACCATTACAGAGATGCTGTGGAATTGTAGCCCTCTCCAGAAAACATCAGATAAAAAAATTGGAGAGGGCTACATTATTGCAGCTAGGCCCATGCTTACTTTATTTATAATAAATACATCTTATTTAGATTAATTTTTTATAAAAGAAAGCATTAATGTTTATTTTTTTCAATTTGCAGCGCACTCAATGGCCCCTTTATAGATTATTTGTTTTTCAACAGTGTATTGGTAACTGTATTGATGAAATCCTAGATTTTATCAAAGAAATAAATTTGGATATGGGATGAATATACATGTATCTATATCTAGATCTACCTTTCGAATAAAGACTTTGTTTCTTTCTTGACTGTAATAACGTGGTTCGGCGTTCACATAAACGGTTTTCAGGTCAGCGGGCTATCTGATTCTATAGTTATTTTTTCTCCATATAACGTACATATGTCAATCATATTACTAACTGTATAAGCAGTTTTACGCTTCGGTTATCATAATTACAAATTAATTCAGTATTTGAGGACTGAGATAATTTATGTCCCATATTCATGTTGGAACAAATCGTATTTTTGTGATCATGTGGCTGGCATATGAATTTTTTATTATTCATAAATGATAGACTCACAAATATCAAAGAAGATGGGGGAACAAGGCGGGCAGAATGCCTATAGCCTCCGATATTAAGAAATCATATTCAATATGTGAATTGAGTATTTCAATTAACTTCTAATTATTGAAATTATGAGAAAAAAAACTTTTCTGAGAGAAAAAAAAAATCTCGTAAAAAAATTTTCTTCCATAAAATCAATAGATGGTATTCGTGGGATTCGAACCCCTAGCAAAACAAAAACCCTGACGTATCAATAGCTTACTGCTTTGAGACTAACGCGTTAACCACTATGCTACATCACCCATTACATCACCCATGGTGATTTTGAGCATTTAAATCTTGTTTGTGATATAACCCGCGACTTAATGGACTTGAAGTATTTCTCGGAAAGATGCGAATGTTGTGTCATAAAAGTGTACTTTTAAGGTAAAGTGGGTCTTCGCTCCATGTTTTTGTAAACCAAAAAATGTGTATTTTATTGCAAACTTTTAGGATCATCTTTCAAAAAAATGAAGCGAAGACCCACTCAAATTGGAAAATTTTGTTAAAGTACAAGAGAATGATCGTTTTTGTTCTTTTTAGTGTGTGTAAGCTTTTTCATAGGCAAATATTTTCTGTTTTTGTGAGATTTTTGTAAATTGTAGAGATTTTACATAAAGAATATTTTAATATTAGATGAAATATCAAATAATATTTGGATTTGAGATTAAAATTTTCACTTCTTATCTGTCGCACTATAAGCACCCCCCCCCCCCATTCCTCTTTCTTTTAGCAACTATTCTGATGAAATCTTAGTACCGGGTATTTAAGAATAACATTGTCTCTTTTTTATTATAACAGGAGGCGGGTATTACTAAAATATATCAAGAAAGCTCTGAGATAGACTTCTGTTTGATACACACCCATGTATCTGATTGGCCCATCGAGATGCATCAAAGGAGAAAACATTCATCACGTGATCTTATTTTCAACGTCATGTAATTTATGGCCAGAAAATTGTTGGTTATCTAATAAATTATTTCAAAATGTTGAGTTTTTTTTAATCATATAGGGAAATATTTTAGAATGGCTTTCCTATAAATCGAGTAAATGTTAATGTACAGTATTTAAAATGGATTTCATCGAATCACAAATGAAAGGTGTACTGGATCCGGGCCTCAACAAGAAGGTGAAGGTCAGCAGGCCAACATGTCAACGTGCTAAATGTAGTGAATAGAGGGAATTCACACGCCTAACTTTATTTGACAATGGTAAAAACAGTCAATGTTAAATTATGCATAGAAATGTGTATCAAGAAGATAGGAGCTAATTTGGTTATCTTAAACTATACAAGCAGATTGAGAGCTATTCCGAGAAGGGTTGTTCAAAAGTTTGTGGACATTACTCAAAATTTAAAACAAGCACATTATAATATGTAAAAATATTTGTTTTGTTGATGTTTGAACTTTCCGTCCATTCGATTTAACACAAATAAATTTACTTCATTTTAAAATCAACATGTTTCATGGCGTCAAAGGTCATTTTAAATAACCAAGGACAACGACTTTCAATAACCTCAAGGAATGAATTGAAAAGCAAAGCGGTTTATAAAAAAGAGTAAACTGCTCCAACCCAGGTTATAAGAGTATAGCTTGAATTGCTATTTAATTCATTACTTATAATTTATTTTCTATCATTAAGTATACAAAACAAGACAATTTCTCCCTTACATATGCCTTCAAATTATTCCTATTTTAAACGTAACGTCAAGCAGATTTTTGAAGTAAGTTATTGTGAATGAAGCCAAACCAGGACTGAGGTTATTAATTTAAACAATATTTTATTATGAATTAACATAATAGGATCTGACAGCAGACACTTCCTATATAAGTCCTCTCCATAATACAAAGATCAAAGTCATGCATGTACAAGTAAATATTAGCTACAAAACATTGAAAAATATAAATATATACATACATATATTCAATAGAAATGTATATAAAAAGGCAATTTAAGAAGAAAAAAAATTATAAATGAGCTAGTGATATAATTTAAATTTGTATTCTAACATATATGACTGGCAATTATATCAATGTGTATAAATTTGAAAAATTAATAAGAAAACATAAATAGGTTTTGGTTCTGTGGTTTGACAACTGAAAAACAAAAGAAGAAAACAATATCATGCAAGTCTCTTTGTAGTTGCAATAAATTCTTGAACAAGTTTAAATACTGCAATATTTTGGTTGTAAGTAAGATTATTGTCTCCATTTAAAATAAGTTGTAAAGATAAAGGCAGTGGTACATGTAATTGCAAATTATTAAAGTTTTGCATAAGGTTCTGTCTTTGCATACAGTATTTTGGACATTTCATAAAAAAGTGATATGATGTTTCTGAACTTTATCAGCACATGTCACAACTTTTATCTTCCTTTAAAAAATGATTACATAAGGACTGAGGTTTTACAATATAGATTAATTTTTTATCAAATCAAATGATGCGTTACAACCAAAATTAAATTAATCGTATTCAAATATGAATATCAAGGATGGATTTTGTCTCGTTTCTGGTTAATGCAATTCTCAAAGTTGGGTAAATATTTGCAAAAGTGGGTCAAACTCAAAAGTCAAGGCCAAAAGGTCAAAATGTTGATACCCAAAGAAAGTCTTGTCACAAGAAATATACATGTGATATATGAAAGTCATGACTAACCAATCAAAAGTTATGGATGGGATTTTGTTTTCAAAAAAAAAAAACCCAGACAGACAGATAGACGAACGAACAGGGCTAAACCCCTGAATCTTCGATTACGGGTTTTCTCTACTTTGTTTAAAACAACGTGTTAAAATAGGGGGCATATTTTTATTAATCACAAGTTCAAAATCCCCACAAATGCTGTTTATACCCTCAATTTCGAAAATAAGGGGTATATAATTTTTTGTCCTGTTCATCTGTCTGTCCTTAACTTTGCCCATAACCTTTAAATAGGTGGGGCTCTGTCTTACATATTTTAAAGGTGTGTTGGAAGACCTTTTTTGGGGGGTTTCATCAAATTTGACCCCTTGACCTTGGAAATTCACCCACATTTACCTATTTTAACCTTGGCTATAATTTTTGTACAGTTGATTCTTGGACTTTCATACTTCACAAGTGTAATATTTTTGACAAGACCTGTGTAATTATTGTGACAAGACCTATCAAAAGTATTAATATTTTTACTCTTTCACCTTGATCTGAGAGTTTGACCCACTTTGATAAAAACCTTAACATTGGCCATTACTTCTGTACAGTAAGCACTAGGGCCTTCATATTTCACAGGTGTATTCCTTGTGGCAAGACCTTCTTTTGGATATTAACAATTATGACCTTTTGACCTTGACCTTTGGAGTTTGACTTGCATTTAAGAAACTTTAGACCTCACCATAAGCTGCCATATGGGGACATCAGTGTTTCACAAACACATCTTGTTTATGACTAACATCATCAATGATTAAATCATTATTATAATATGTACTCATTATATCACACTATTTGATGACCTGAGTAAACAATGGAGATCCTTGGTGGCTGCAGGGTCCTGGTGGTAACGCTCTATGGTATAGACAGACCATAAATTTACACTGGTTCAGCTTGTCAATCCCTCTGTGTCCCTTTGACGCTTACTTTTCCTTCAATGACAAAATAAACCTTAAACTCCCTTAAACCGGACCAGGCATTTATGAAGGTAAGACGGATCGGATAATTTTGACTTTTATATCATCTTACATACGTTCAGTAGAGGCACTGTTGATATCTATAAATAAACAAACTTAATTGTTATAGTAATGGACAATATATGACATATAAGATGAATTTCTACTACTTTCTTCTTGTTTTTTTTTTATATACGTGTTACGTGTTCATCATACTTCATTGTGAGATTATTGAATAAGACTTCATAATTTAAAAAAAAAGTCTCCACAACATGCATAAACTAGTCTCACGATCGTTTCGAAGAAAGTGGTTCTTCAAACCTTAAACTGGTCACTGGCCATTTTATAAATGTCCGTCAAAGAAACCCTTGCATCAGAAAATTAAATTAAACTGTACTTTAAATTCTATCTTTCTCTCGATTGGACCTAATAATTGTTTTACGTAGTACCTTTCTTCGAAAATTAGAAAGTTCCTTCCATTGTAAGTTTTATACATTCTATATACATATGTATTTCAATTCATTTATTGTCAACCATTTGATTGTTTTTACAAAACGTTATAAATGAATCTTATAAGAAATGGTACATGTAAATCGCTGTATGTGCAAAGCGGACGAAAAGGGCACAACAAGAAGAAAGCACAACAGCACATAAATCAACCAATGTCATCAAAATGGCCAACAATGAACAGTTTAATGCCTCATGTGGTAAAATATTACAGTAAAATTACGCTGATCTGACCATATTCTTCTGCATATAAAATCACACAAGAGTATGTGGATCTAATGTTCATGATTATTATCCAAGCTCTGATCTTTCCCGCATTGTAAAAATTTCATGCAAAGAAAAAGTTAGTTTTTTTCGTATATTAATTTATATTTTCTGTAAATATTCATATTGTTATTTTCTTTCAAAAATATAATGTAAAATCATCAAAAGTAAACGTAACATAACCTCATTAAAGTTGCTTGACCCCTCTGTCTTTTGGTTGTCTTAACCGAACTTTTTTCCCCTTTATGTTAATCATGCAGTTCAACTTCTGTAGCCAACTGCTCTAAAGACAAAAATCAGACTGGCTTGCTGCAAGTCACTTTGAAACTTGTTCTGATATTTTTTTGTTTATTTCAACAGGAAACATGCGACCGTTAGCTTACTTTGTCTTGGTTATCAGCATATTCCATGTGTGCATCTCTCAGACAGACATTAGAACGATCGAATGGACATCAAGTGGATCTTCTTCCAGACAAAGGTCAGGGATTGTCTCGGACTCCATTGTACCTTATAGAATTTTAAACAGTGAAGTGATAGAAACGCCAATACAAATTGAGTCACTACCGGACGTGTTAGCAAATGAAGCACGTGGTACAAATAGAATCCAAAACGAGGCACTTGCATCTTTGTTAAATTTAAGACAAACAAACGGAGATCGGAATTCGGTGTTTTATTCTCAGTATCAGGGATTTCAGCCCGTTAGTTTGTCATTGACAGGTGCAGACTCTTGCTATACAAGGATAAAGGCAGAATTTGATCGAGCATATCCCAGACTTCCATCTCTTGTGCCGGATATTACGTCAGTAAATACCATGTTTGACCCAGTGCCACAACGTATATCCGAGCTTCCTCGGGGGATATCTCCAATATATGTACTATCTAGACGAACAGACCCTATTGCCTATGTCCCGTACAGACTTGACGGTACTGGGGCTCCCTTGAGGGTTCCCTTCCACAGGCGAACAAGGAGACTGGCCTATCCTGATTTTCCCCTCCTCATACCCTACACGCAACTTTCAATCAATAATCGGCCTAGAAACAGAAATTACGTCATTTTTATTCCATTTCAACCAGACGTCAATAGGATTCAGAACAATTGTCTACCTGTTTCAGTTCCCGTCACCTCTAGGAGGGAGAATTTCCCGAAATATGTTCCCTACCGAGTCAGATTTAGCAGAATGCAACCAACCAGTGTGACAATTCAGTTTTAGGAACATCGAGAGTGTTATGTATTTTGAGGACTTAAAAATACTTTTGCTTCAGCTTTCGTCTTTTAAACTGAAGCTTAAACTAAATGACTAAATGAATTAGTTATTTCCACATTTCCAGTAGATTTTTTAATCCGTGAGCCACGTCTCCATAAAATGTTTAAAAAGTCAATAGACGTTGTACTTTTGAGGAAAAGTTTCATAAACCTTATTTCCTTAAATAAATATCTACAAAATCTGAAATGTTCAACTCTTTGAACGTTTTTGATACTGAAATGTATTGAAATGTTCCATCCCAGAGATATAAAGTGTTGGGGATACATGTTTTGTTGAAACATTAACTGATGAGTCCATTTCTTCAACTGCATTAACAAGCAAATTCAAAAGAATTGTGGTCCCCCGCTTTCGGTGTCTTTGTGGGTGAGATGTTATTTTTCATTACAAATTGTGTCTAATATGAGCACCCTATTATATGTCATTTATTTAGAAATCATCACTGAAGTTGATTTTTTTTTTTAAAATAAGGTCAATCGTGAAGGTCAAGGTCAAGGGGTAAGAAATCATAGCATGCTCGGAATTATCTTGTCACAGGTAATGCACATGTCAAATATGAAAGCCCTATCTTTTCTCAATATAAGGAACAAGATGTGTTTGTGAAACACTGATGACCCCGTATGGCAACTTTTCTTAAATGCAAATTAAAATTATTATTACCCAGAGTAGGGTTTTTCTCACAAGAAATACGATTGTGAAATAAAAAATCCCTAGCACGCATGTTCAAAAGCTAAAGCCGAGGATAAATATTTGAAAGGTAGGTCAAACTCCAAGGTGAAAGGGTCTGAGTTTTTGGTTTCTTAAGAAAGGTCTTATCACAAGTAATACATATGTGAAGGATGAAAACCCTAACCCTAACCGTTCAAAAGTTATGACCAAGGTGTTAAAGTTTTTCAAAAGTAGGTCAACTCCAAAATCAAGGTCAAAGGGTTAAAGTTCTTTGTATTCAATGAAAGATTTTCTCACAAGAATTGCATATGTAAAGTATGAAAGCCCTAGTCCTTACCTTTCAAAAGTTATGTCCAAAGTTAAAGTTTTTTCATAAGTACGGAAATCTCCAAGGTCAAGGTCAAAAGGTCAAAGTTGTTGGTATCAATGAAAGGTCTTGCTACAAAGAATGCATATGTGAAATTTGAAAGTCCTAGTACCTACCATTCAAAAGTTATGGCCAAATTTAAAGTTTGGAATTTTTGTGTAAAAGTGGGCAAACTCCAAGGTCAAGGTCAAAAGGTCAAATTTGGTGGTACCCAAAGAAAGGTCTTGTCACAAGGAATACACATGTGAAATATGAAAGTCATAGCTCCACTAAATCAAAAGTTATGGGCAAGGTTAAAGTTTTTGTGACGAACGGACAGACTGACGGACAGATGAATGAGATTTAATGTTCCCTCGCTTTCGCCAAAGCGGGGGACAATAAGGAATGAGTTTTAGTTCCACATCTCGTAATCTACATTTGCTAGTCAAGGGTTTTTGATACGCTACTCTTCTTATGAGAAGAGTATCGTATCAAAAACCCTTGGCTAGCGAAGATGCTCGTAATCCAACCTATACTCTCAGTCCCCTTCAATAGATGCAATACTCAAAGCTAGTTATTATGCGCCCGAATCGAAAGATCCGAGGCGTATATTGTTTTTGTCCTGTCTGTCCGTCTGTCTGTCTGTTTGTCTGCAAACTTTAACCTTTGCCATAACTTTTGAATCATGAATGTTTGAGACTTCATATTTGGTATGCATACTTTACTAATTAAGCTCTTTCAAATGACCTTGTGACCCTGACTGTGACCTATATGCTAAAAATAGTTTTTTCTGCAAACTTTAACCTTCGCCTTAACTTTTGAACTGTAAAAGATAGAGACTTCATATTTGGTATGCATACACCACCGATTAAGCTCTTTTAAATGATACCATGGTCAATGGCCTTGTTACCTTGACTGTGACCTATACGCTAAATATAGCTTTTTTGTCGGCAAACTTTAACCTTTGCCATAACTTTTTGAAAGAAGAAAGATAGAGACTTAATATTTGGCATATATTCTCCACTTATTAAGCTCGTTCACATGACACCAAGGTCAATGACCTTGTGACCTTGACTGTGTCCTATATGCTAAAATAGCTTTTTAGAACCTTCACCATAACTATTGAACCATGAGAGAGAGAGACTTAATATTTGGTATGCATACTTCACTACTTAAGTTCTTTCAAGTGACACAAAGATAAATGACCTTGTGACCTTGACTGTGACCTATATGCTAAAAATATGGTTTTTTTTAAATTTTGTTGCCGCCGGGTGCATAGTGTTTCTCAAACACATCTTGTTATAAATACGTTTATCATTCCAATCAACGGAGTTTTATTTTACGTACATGTGTACTCTGGATTTTCAAATCTTCGAAGAATTCATTGCAAAGATATTATTAGGGTCCAGTAAATGTTCAACAAAGCCCTTATTCTTACTTACTCTTAAAATATTATAGTGCACCCAGGAATTATTGAGAATTTCATCGTAAAATGTTTTGGTTTTTTTATGTTTAAACAAGATGTGTTTGTGAAACACTGATGCCCCTGTATGGCAATATAGTGAAGATTAAACTTTTCTTAAATGCAAATTTATATATTGGTACCCAAAGTAGGGTCTCCTAAGTGGAAATTCAATTGAGAAATATGAAAGCCCTATCACCATCTGTTCCCGAGTTATGGTTAGGTTAAAGTTTTTTCATAAGTACAGAAATCTTGAATATCAATGTCAGAAGGTCAAGGTTATTGGTATCCAATGAAAGGTCTTGCCACAAAGAATACATCTGTGAAGTATGGAAGCCATAGCCCTAACCGTTAAAAAATTATGGCCAAGGTTAAAAAAGATTTTAAAAGTAGGTCAAACTCCAAGATCAAGGTCAGAAGGTCAAGGTTATTGGTATTCAATGGAAGGTCTTGTCACATGGATTACATATGTGAAGTATGAAAGCCCAAGCCCTTACCGTTCAAAAATTATTGCCAAGGTTAATGGTTTTTTTTATAAATCCGGAAATCTCTAAGTCAAGGTTATTGGTATCCAGTAAAAGGTCTTGCCACCAAGAATACAAATGTGAAGTATGCAAGCACTAGCCCTAAGTGTTAAAAAGTAATTGCCAAGGTTAACGTTTTCGAACTGACACCATGATGCATATTTTGTACCCCTAAGACAGCTGTGGCGTTCCATAGAAAAATATTTGGAATTCCCTTGGGTGCCAATTGCACCCCGTTACAAACAGACTTATTTTTGTATTCAAATAAAGCAAAATTTATTCAAAACTTATCCAGGGGAAGAAAAAATGCTTGCTTTAGCCATCAACTCGACATTTAGATGCAACTACTACTGATTTTTGTTGTTTCAATCGGCTCCTGAATTTTTTTATAAGCTTATTGGTCTTTATCTCCATATTTCGTGCTTTAATTTCTCATTTACAATATATTAATAGTTTGGGTTTTTTAAAAACATGTATGAATAATAATTATCCATTGTGCACGTGCAACCTAGAAGAGCATATACATTTTAAGAAACTATATATATCTAATAAAAGCCCAATCTTTTTGCTAAGTGCAAAATTTGTTTCAATTAATTAAAAAAAATTTTATTTCCAATCTGAAAAATACTTTGCTGCAGATCTGTAGCTTTCTACTTTATCAGGTACTCTCGTAGTTGACATCTGCACGAAGCGTGTTAGACCGAATTATCTTGCAAACCAAAATGGCAGAATAAGTAGACGAAATTTTCGATGATCTCGATTTCAGGCCCAGGTGGGCTATTAACAACAGTTATAAGGAATGTTTTCTTGTCGAAACAGTGAAAGAATATGTTAGAAACACACCGTTAGTAATATTTTGAGGGAGAGTTTTAAAAACATGGAGAAATAAATCGAGAAACAGCGCACTTTTTTGTGCGCAATAAATACTAGTATACAGTTTTTTTTCAATGGGTGGCACTGTAGCTCTCCGGTCTGTCAATATTTTTTTTTTTCGGAGAACTACAGTTCTGCAGCTAAAAAATACTTTAATATTCTTTTTGTTATTATTTTTCTAAATCCTGTATGTCATTGTTATACAATTCAGATTAATTTGTTATTTAGGTAAAATTATACTTCCTGTTTATATATTTCCTTTTGTAGAATTTCTTTCTTTCTTTTTCTATTTTTCATTGATATTTTTGATATGAGTTTTATTGCCAACTGCAAAAAAGTGTTACATAGTCTTCGACAAAATATATGTGAGAGCACTGCACTTCATCATTGTACAGACTTTTAAAAATTTGATATCGCCATTTATTGTAGAGTACAATCTAATTAGATTTAGATCCTTGATCCGCCCCGACTAGATCGCTACACAAAGTTTAGCGATCTAGTTGGAGCGGATCAAAGATCTAATTTTAATAAGATTGCAGTAGAATACTACGAAAAATAATCCAAACTATTTCTTTAAGACATACTTAGGGAATAGAATTATCTATGAATGGAAAAAAATCTTTGGGCTACTTTCTATGATTACACGTGTCACTTTAAATTAACTTAAAATTGGTTACATATTTTTTTTAATGTCGTTGCAATTCAATTTACACATAAAGAATTTGAATAAATTTAAGAATTAAAAAAAAAAAACTAGATGTACTGTGAGCAATGAGCTCACTAAATGATATCCCCCCCCGCTTCCCATATGATTATAATGGCAAAGTCCATGTTTTGCTGTGGCCAGGAAACCCAAAATATGTGTCGGATCAAAAAGTAAAATAGGAGGTGCACAATATGTAATAAAAATTCTCTGAAAGTTTCATTAAATTTCACTCAGTGGTATAAGAGGAGTTGCGGATAAGAGATGGGTACCCCAAAGCGTAACAGACAGACGGACGGACAGACGGACATACTGAATACAGTATACCCTCCCACTTTTCAAGCGGGGGTGTAATAATCTGTCCTGACCTCG